TTGCCTTCTGCTCCTTCGTCGCGTCTCTTTCTCTTGCTTGGATGGTAATTACACTTTTGACTGCTTACAATTTACTACCAACTGCTAAATCGGTTCTATTTCATTATTTCTAGAATTTTCTTCTTTCATAGCTTGCACTTAAGGGACACATAGTTTCCCACTTCCATTGATTGTATGTCATATATAAGCTTGTCAGATATTGCTGTTGCTCTTGTTCTAGTGTGCGATTCACCTTTGCTGTTATCTATAATGGCTAAAATCTTAATAAAATTAAGGCTTTATCAGTTCCAGCATTATTAATTATCAGGTCGCTTTTGACCTAGAATCACGCAAATCATGTCATCTATTGTAAGGGCCTTACTTATCAACTCTGCTGCTCAGATTTTGTGCCCATATTGAGTGCGGTAAAGCTACCACGAAATTAGCAGATATCTTTATTCTTAATCATCTGATAGTTCTGTGTTGTTTACTCTTTTGATCTATGTATTTAAGTAACTTTAATGGCATCATTTCTTGGAGAGTAATGACTAAACTAACCATACTTTACTAAATTCAAAAGTCTTTGCATGATATCAAAATCTTTACTTTTGTTATATCAAACATGGTTTACCTTTGTTCTTGAAGTGAGAAATGAAATTTCTTTTGTGCTTCACAGGTTCTTTATAATTGCTGGGGTAGTTCTTCTTGTGAGTTCGACAAAGATGATTGCGCTTCTTCTCAGGCCATTTCGACGCATTATGAGAAGCAAAAACGAAAGGAATCAAAATCTCAGGAGGTCCACATCTATTCGTAAGGACCAAAACCCAAGTACAATAATCAATACATCCACTCTTCACCATTTAATTCCACCTTCTGTGAAGGACAAGGCCTAATTATTTCCTGTAGATACACTGCAAATTTTTTTCCACGCGGGGCTTGGTTTTGCTGAAAATTTTTGTTTGCTTTGTTTCATTCTTTTCCCTCCTTGCATGGGAGCTACATGACAATCACCCGGTGATCTAACCTCTAAACTGACCACGCTTCCAGAGATTAATAGAGCTAACAGGTGCACCTGGTTCTCTTTTGTACATGGAAAAGGATTTGAGAAACTTTATGTATTATTATTGGAGGTCGTCACTTAATAGGATAGTTTGGTGGAAGTCATTATCATTATCGTCGAAGTTTTTCTTTAGTTTTGCTAGTTTGTGAGGACAATACAGCTGCTCCAATACTTTGAGCATTGCCGTTCGATTGTTTTATGTGAACGTTTGGAGGATTCGTCGGTCACAGAGTGAGGGCAGGTTCGTTTCTCGCCACACTTTTATGCGCTGAGCCTGCCCTTGGTCCGGCTCAGTTCTTGAGTCTTGAGTCTTTGTAATTTTCATTTGTGAACAAATTCATCTGAGTTTTGACTCATAAATATAATATTATGAATTGGGGTAACGTACCCTACAATACTGCTGTTGGAAATATATTTCTTATTCAAATGGTGTTGATTGTATGAGAGAGAGAGTCACGTGTTTCATTGCACAAATCTGTTGTTAGCCCAATAGTTTGTTGGCACCAGAGACAAAATAGTTTGTTTTTTGTTTAGCGTATTTCTAATCCTAATCTTTAAGAAATTCTAGTTTTGTGCGGATTCTTTTGCTTTAGATGGTGATGAAAAGGATTTCATAAAATTATATTGGTTTTGATGGCGATGAAAAGAATAAAGTTATTCCTATATATTATTATGAAATTGAAAAAAAAATCCAATGTTGAGATGTGGTTTTTAATTTTGAGGTTTCCTCAATTTGACTCGCATCTAAGGGGTTGTGTGGTTGGCTGAGAAACTGAGAAAAAGAAATTAAAACATCTGACACACCTATGTGGAGGTGTTAGATTTATGTTGTGCATGTGTGATCCACCCACTAGTAAAATAATAGGTGCAACGGATCCCAAATTAAAGAAAACCTATTTCATCCTAAAAAGTCATGAAATGGACATGAAAATATAGAAATGGGTTTCACAACTTATTTAACTTATTTCCCATGAGTAATCTCTCAAAGTTAGGTTTCTAGGAAATGAATAGTCCCTAATACGTTATAAGATAAATAAGAAATTACGGACACGCAAAACGAGAATATGTTAGTACTCTTAACTTATTAAGTTCATCCAAATGTGGTCCGTTTAGCCCACGTTCTAGTAGGTCTGTCAAACAAACTAGTAGCTTCATTTGCAAACATTTGATCCATTGCTTAATTTGGTTCATTCGATTATTTAGGCAAGGTGAACTCAAGCTAGGTTATATTCACTATGTCTCATTTGAAGGAGCTCCAATTTTCTAGAGCTTACACAAAATTTTAAGCATGGTATAATTTAGGATTAGTTGTATATAGGCCCCTTTAACTATACCGTTGTGTCACTTATTTAACTTATTGATATTGACAGATAGATTTCTAGAGCTGAACACAGCTGTAGATTTGTAGCTGATAATCTCCAATACTATCGCAACCTGCCTCTTCTTTTCTTGTTGATCGCTTCATTTCCGCCATAAAAACCCTGTTGAAAATACCGCAACATCCACCGGAGAGGATACATGGAGGGTGGCGGTGGCGTCCGATTCGCTTTCTAAGGACCTATCTGTCAATATCAAACTCAAAAAGATAATAAAATGACACCATGTTTAAAGCGCAAGGGCCTGCGTGCAACTAACCCTATAAGTAAAATGGAAACATATAATCGCAGCATTTGTTATTTATCACATTACTTTAGGGTTTGTTTGGATTGAGGGAAATAAGGGTGAAGAGAAGTTAAGGGAACCATTCACCTTGTTTGGGAACATTTAGGAGGTGAAGTTATTCACCCTAGTCCCCCTTGGTTCATCGGGAACTCTCTTCCATTCCCTTCCATTCTCTCACCTAGTTTCTTTTAAGGACAAATTTTCAAAACCATCCACTTTTGAAATTTATTTATAAAAAACGACTCATTTCAACCTTAATTTTAAAAACCGACCCAGTTGGTTGAAACTGGGTCGGTTTTTGAAAAAAAAAATTTCAAACTTCACGGGAGTTGAACTCCCGTGAAGTTTTGTTATGAGAAAAAACTTCACGGGAGTTAAACTCCCGTGAAGTTTGGAAATTTTTTTTTCAAAAACAGATCCAGTTTCATCCAACTAAGTCTGTTTTTGAAATTAATGCTGAAAGGGATCTTTTTTTGGGAATAAATTTCAAAACCAGATGGTTTTAAAAATTTGTCCTTTCTTTTAACTTACCTTAACCCATTGAAATCCAAACACACCGTTAAGCAACCGCCCATAATTAGATGTTATTGAAAGTCTTTGAAGGCTTAAAACACGTCAACCATCCCTGTTCACATCTGGAAGCAGAGGAGCATGGATGTAGCCCGGTGAACCCGAGACAAGAATGAAACCGCCTGCGGAAAAACAGCAAAGCTTTGGGCCCACTCTTTGTTCTTTTCCCTCCTCTCTCATTAAAATGCCACCAGCCCCCCAAGTAACTCCCAAACCCCTCCGCCTCGGTTGCGTCGGCCTCTGGAATTTACCTTTAAAACCCCCCAAAATTCCCGTTTCTGTTCATTTTTATTCACAGTGTGAGGAGAACGAGAGAAGATTTGAGGAATCTGTGAATGTTGCGAGAATGAGCAAAGAGTCAATGGGAGTTGAGATTGGGAAGAGGAAGCTGGACTCAGGATGGCTGGCGGCGAGATCCACCGAGGTCGCCGCCACCGGAGTCCAGCTCAGCACCACTCGACCTCCCTCTGGACCTAACGCTCCTTGGATCGAGGCCGACGTCCCCGGCACGTGAGCTCTTCATCTGTTTTCTTGATTTCTAAATCTTTTTGGAGTTGTATTCTTTTGGTTTGATTGATTTAGCGGAATATGGGGGGGTTTTTTTTTTAATTAGGGTTTTAGGGACTTTGGTGAAGAGTAAGTCGGTGCCGGATCCTTTCTATGGGCTGAACAATGAGTCTATATTGGACATTGGTGAGTCTGGGAGGGATTACTACACTTTCTGGTTCTTCACTTCCTTTGACTGTAAATTGGTAAGCTGGTAATTTTTTCTTGTTGCATTGCTTGTAATCTCTGTCCAAGATTAGTTTAGACTATTGTAGTTTGTTGTTAGATAGGCGAGTTGACTTAGTTTGATATGTGCTTCACTGAACCTTGCTCTACTTCATTTGTTGTAAAATCAGAGAGGATTAACTCCTGATTATTCGTGCAATGCAGCAGATTATGTAATTTGAGAGCTAAATACCTTATCCTTTTGGTAATTTCTCTTTACTGGTATAGAAAATACTGACAACATCTTGTTTTGTGGGGTCATATCCACGTGAATAGTTGGTTGTGTTTCCTTTTGAAAATTTTATGAAATACATAATCTGGTCTTCTTACCTTAGCCCTCTTATTTACTTAGTACATTTCTGTTTAAACTTCATTCTAATGCATCTGGAAGGATCTAAGGTATTGTCTTCCATCAGTAGTATATCCTGTACGTTTAGCTATGCTTCTGTGCTTGACTACATTACAAAACAAATTTGTAAAGGTTAGGGTATGTGGACACTGAATGTCATGTATATTTCACATGTCTTTAGTATGGGAAAATTTGCAAAATAGACCATTTTTACAAAATAATTAGCGAAATAGACCGTTTTTGAAAGTAATTAGCAAAATAGACCGTTTTTTGGGAAAAGAGGTCGATTTTGAAAAATGGTTCAGAAAACATACGGGACTACTAGTCCCGTATGTTTAATGTTGACTAATTTTGTGTTAACAAAACGTACGGGACTAGTAGTCCCGTACGTTTTGAGAGTAGCCCATATCGACCCTCAGCGAGATCTCCACCAGCGACGGCGGGAAACCAGCCGGGA